ACTCCCATTACCAGTTAGGGCACTGCAGGGCATTCCTAAGGGAGTGTCTGGGGAATCTGTCCCTTCACACGATCTTATATGAATGCCATCTTCAAGTATAAAACATGCAAACACTTGACTATGACAAAAGTATAAACAACACAAATGCAATAGACATGCACTAACTGAGAGCCCTTTTCCATAATGTTTTTCATGTTCTCTGCATCACAGAGTTAAAGGTGTCTTACAGTGTTTGCTACAAAAGCACCAGTGCTCTTTGACACAGACTCGAAATTAGTGCCAGCAAGAATGTTTAAATAGGATCCCCTACCCTGGCCCCACCTACAAATCACTTGTGAAATTTTGTGCACTCACACACACACACACACCAATGGAGTCAGGATCTTCCAGAATGAAGCAAAGGCCTTAGTATAGCTAGAAGCCTTCCAACAATATTGATGTAAATTGAAACTTGCTCATTTAACCCTTTCTTTCACAGTATTGTTCTCTCTAGAATCTGGAAGAGATTATTTTGCATAGCATGCTTTTTGTATTAAAAATAATTCATATGATAATGTGTTGGATGTTTCAAAATTACTAAGAATAAATTTCAAATGTCCTCACACACTGGGTTTTTTTAGCCATCCTACCTTGTATACCTACATGACCACTCACCATACCTGTAAATATGTGTATCAATAATTAGTCTATTTAGAATAAAGTAGAAAATAAAATAAGTAAAAAAATTAATGTATAGCCTAAGTGAAGTATGTTGATCATTAACCTAAAGCTGCATTCAAATGTTTTCATAGCAAAATACAAGTTTGATTTGGGAAATACGATTTTGTGACAAACTAGGATTTATCCTCACATTCTTTTTAATCAAATGGTTTTATAAGATAGATATACACCTAAAAATGAATCTTTGGGTGCAGCTATTAGAAGCCTCTGGTTCTCATAAGATTCTAGAAACTGAGTGAATGTGACAGAGGAATCAAAATATTTAAAAATTAAATGTAACAAAGCCAAACCATCATTTAAATTACCAGAACGAACAAAAGAAGGCACATAAAACACCACTGTGGCAAAGCAGTTTCTAGAAATTAATTATCAGTGTTCTATTGTTCTCTACTTCAGAGTAAAATATCTAGGGACACTCACTTCACCAAGTCGGGGCTGAGTGAAGCTATGCCACTCCCAGTTAGTGTATCTGCAGTTGTCAGTCTCCATGTGTCCTCCTCTGCAGGAATCCAGGGTGTGGTGATGCCCAGCCACACGGCAGGAGTCTAAGGTCTGGTGTCCTTTCATCATCTCAATTGTCTCCTGGCCACCATTTCTCATTCCCGATCCCATTGTGCCACAGAAGCCTTGGCTAGAGTTGTTGGCAGTCTGCATGGTGAATCCATTGGCGGAGCACTGCATTATAATAAAACGAGACAGCAGTGGGAGGCAAAGAATGTCACACCTTGCAGAAAGCAGGCAGAGTCATTACTGTTATAATAAAATCCCAACATAAATGACTAAGTTTGAATTAATAAGAGTGGAAAAATAGAATCAAATGGTAGACTTTTATGAAGTTCAGTAAATACCACTCCATAAGCTCTGGAACACTGGGTAGACCAAAGACGACTTACAATTTATAAGATTCCAACTATTTACACATAGCAAGTGACTCCTAAATAACTTCCCAGGATGAATTTTAAAACTAGAGGAATAATTATTCACCAAAGAAATTACTTACCACCCTGTCGTCCCCAGGTGCTTCAGTGTTTGATATAATTAAGTTTTGCTGTGCTAAATCTTCAGGAAAATGTTTTCCTTTCCGGGCAGTAACAACTCCACATACCAAAGTTAGCAGTACCGCTAAGTACAAATAAGAAGAAGAAATAGAGTTTTTAAAGAACATACTTAATTTACCATACATACAAAAGCAACCATCCTTTATTGTTTATGCCTTGGGCCACAAGAGGACAATAAGAAAATTAATTGTGACTTCCGTCAATTATCCTGGTTTTACTAAATTCACAGGCACAATTTGAAATGTGCAATAATCACATGTGAAGTGTTTAGAATCATGAGTTCAACTGTAGACTTTAGAAGTCCCAAACATTTACTTAAGTCAAACATTAAAGATATTTACTGATTCCCAAAAGATCAGTTTGCCAATTTGGAAATACAAAAAACAAAAATAAATAAATAAATAAATAAATAAATAATAAAAAACCCAGACATTTTCTCAGAACATAATTTGTCCCCAATAAACATAATTAAGCCCATTGTTTTTGTCTTACTTAGACTTTTTGCTACATCATGATAATAGGAGATTTAAGACTATTTGATCACTAAACCAACAGTAATAGCAGCAATTCTCAATGGTCCAGAAGACCCACTGGCACACTGGCTAAGTATGGCTACTGTTCCAGACACCACATGTTTTTGTATAATCCAGACCTAAGATTTTTAAGGCTTTAAAAAAAAAGGTAGCAATAATTCATGATGCTAAAATTACAAGAAGCTGAGCACAGTGGTACTTGCCTTTAATCCAAGAATTTGAGAGACAGAGGCAGGAAGATCTTTGTGAGTTTGAGGTCATCCTAATCTACACAGTGAGTTCCAGGGCAGTCAGAGTGATATAGTGAGACCATGTCTCAAAAATAAACAAAAAAATGCAAACAGAAAAATTACAGGACATTCAAATTTTGGCATGCAGACTTGAAGTGCTGAGGGAACATAGCTATGCCTTTCACTCACTTATTCTCAGAGATGGCCTTCCTGTTATAGATGTCACAGATTTCAGCCAGCCCAAATGGCTCTGAGATATATACCATCTGTCCTTTGAAGTATGATGTGTCTCCCCTCCTGTCTACATGCTACCTTCTACCTGTGTTTCTTGATCCTCTTCCCCTCATCCACTTCTGTCTAGACACAGGAGTTTTCAACAAGCCATTGGGTTACTATTACTGAAAAGCCAGCAAGTAAGCAACATCCAGATTGGGTTATTCCTAGACTATTGTTTGACTTCTCCAAATATAACCTCACCACACAGCCTTTGACCTGATTTTTGCCTCCAACTGAAAACTTCTCCCTGGGTGTACCAACACAGCTGACTCCCAAAATCATGTCATGCAGGCAAGACATAGTGATCTACATTGAAACATGTGGCCACCAGGACGGATGACCTCACACATATATAGCAGCATGACTGTGTCTACTTACTGTACTCCAACTTTTTCCTCCTGGTCAAAAATGAAATTTTGGTGATTTTTTTTGTTCTATTTTGTTTTTTGTTTGTTGTTTTTGTCTGTTTTGCTCTCTAATGAATCCTACTTAGTACAATTTTCTGAAGTTTAGTAGGTATTCAAGATATACTTATTTTGTTGGGTTGATAAATCAGTAATAAATATATGTTAGAAATTTAGAATGCTCTAATCTGCAATTTTCATATCAGTTAACTCAATTAGACCCCAAAGAGTAGGTTACTACCATTGTCCCTACAAATGAGAAAAGAGAAGCACAATTAATAAAACTAAAGACTTTTAAACAATTCTGTCTGAGTGTGGAACCAGTCCCAGAAAGGATCATGTTCCCTCAAATAGTGACCAGTCAAGCACAACTCAGCTCCCATAGAATACAGAAGCAACTTGTAAAGGACATGGTAGATGTGTGTCTATGTTTACTTCCCAATATCCTTTTGGATAATCAGATCTTTTATCTTGCATTTTAACTTCAAGTGAGTGAAAATACTTACAAAATAGCAGTGCGATGCCCAGCAAGATGGCAAGGATGGCCCACTTCCCCAAGGTGATGCCTGCACTCCTGGACCTGGCCGCACACTGGCTCGGAACTCTCAAGATTTTGGTTGCAGATTGGCCTGCTCTGTCTTTTACAGTAACAGGAATGGAGTATTCTTGAACTTCAGCATTTTTCCGATAGGACAGGCGGGCAGCTGTATCTTTAAGAAAATAAAAAGACTTTATTTTGATTGATTGATTTCAGGTGGAGAGTTGTACACATGTGTGTGCTCACATATAGAGATCGTGTAAGAACCCCAGGTATCATTCCCCAGGAAGAGACCACCTTGCTTTTTGAGACAGGATCTCTCATTGCCTAGCACTTGAAGATTAAGCTAGCCTGGCTGGCCACCAAGCCCAGGGATCCCCCTGTCTCCTCCCCACCACTAGGACTATGATTACAAACAGGTACTGCCCTACCTTGAATTTTCATGTGAGTTCTGGGGACTGAACTCTTGTCTTCATGTTTGTATGACTTTATTGGCTAAACTCTCTCTAACCCAATGTTATTTTTAATGATTACTAATTCTTTCCTTAGAATCTATTGCACCACTCTTATTGTAAAATACCCACCTGTCAACTTAAAAAATGCAAAGGGGGCTGCCTTGATGCCTTCCACCCTTTTGGGAATTAATATTACCTTAGACATGTTTCTCCTTGAAATTCTATGAAAGACAGCTTTAAAGAAAACATTGGAGTCCAGGTAATGAATGCACACCTGAATTCCTAACATCTGAAACTAAAGAGGACGAAAGAGGATGATGAATTTGAGGCTAGCTTGGGCTACATATTGAGATTCTATTTCAAAAGGCCAAAATAATAATAATAAAAATTAGCAATATAATCTGATATTGAAATGACCTAGTAGCATTCCAGCAAATTTCCCCTGATTGATAGAGAATAAGAATTCTAGGGTAGTTCTTAATGTAGAGGTCATTTTTTCCCTTAATTGCAGCTCAAATGCTCTTTAAGAATCACCTGAAGACACACAGAGAGCATTCTCTGTTTTCATGCTCTAAGCCATTTACCTTCTGCTGTCTGCCCATTAGCCCGCTGGCAAAGATAACTCTTCAGAGAGCACGTGCTTCCGATGTGACGTGCTTCCGATGTGACTAATGCCTTGTATGTAGAAATAATCTCCCTACCAGAGCTAATTATACTAATTCTAGTTATAAAAACATGGCCATTTATATCACAATACCTTGTTTTTATCAACTATAGTAGTCAACTTCCCACAATTGTCTTGGCACTTTATTTGAATAATGTTATTGTCAATTAACCAAAGCTCTATAGATGTTCAGTGGCAATTACAACATCCTTGAGTTGTAATTGAGTTGTAATTTTATAATAGAGAAAAATGTTGTTATATCAACATAAAATGTAACCCAGAAAGCACCTGGAATTTGTAGAGTTAAATGTCTATTAGAGATTTGAGGTTTTGATTACACCTTGTATCTGAAAGCTTGCTAGAGGACTGTGACTAGTTCTTGGATTATAATGGAATTTCAGCATCAGCAGTGTCTAAGGAAAGATTGTGCAAATCACTGACTATTTCTAAAACCACTGGCCAAGCCAAAGCCATGTCATATATCATAGTAGTTCAACAACCTCAGATTTTCCTTATCAATCAACTCTTCGCTCTTCCAATTATCTCCTGACACCACCGTCATCTATGTAAGACATACATCTGGATGAAGAATGGCCTCCTTTTACAGTCCCAATGCATACTCCACTGTCACCTACCACACAAACAAAGGTCAGTCTCCTCCTCAGCTTAGGACATAAGACTCAAGAGCACCTAACTTCACCCTTTCTTACACCTGAACACTCAGCATTCCTGAGAAAATCTTCTAAACCAAGATGTTACCAAATCACCCATTTCCTTACTGTGTTTTTTCCTATATGCATATTCTTTAACTAAAACATTGATTAAGCAATCACTTTTTAAGTAGTTATTAGCTGTTAGGCAGTGGGCTCAGTGCTGAAAGTGAGAATATGGATTATGAATGCTGTGAGAAAGGACAGTTAGTAAACAACAGTCATACAAGGTTTGTGTGATACAAAGGTCACAGGGCCCTCCTTATACTTCTGGGGAGAGTTCTCAGAGGTCTAGTATTTCTGCCTCATTCATCCTTATGGCTGTACTCAGAGTCTGAAGCTTATCTGACCAATAGAAGTAATGCCACATTTGTAAGTTAGTATGAAACTAAGACACAGAGAAGGTGGTTTTCCTAGGAAGAAAGAACACCATACATAAAGCTTGGCATGAAAGAACATGGTATCAGGAGCTGGGAACATAGCTCCATGGTTTAAAATGCTTACTGCTCTTCCTGAGGGCCAGAGGTCAGTTGTCAGAACCTGTATTAGACAGTTCACAACTTCCTGTAACTCCAGCTTCAGGGAATCTGACAATATGGCACCCTCTGTTGGCTTCTATGGATATCTACATAAATGGTGTGCATGTGCACATGCATACACACAAGCAGTACAGAGAGAGACGCATATACATGCACATACACTTACACATGCACACACAGGCACATTCTTTGGAAAAGTCTAATTTAATATCCTAAGCTACTGCATTGTACTTTGTGTAAATTAGCATATAAACCCTCCAGTAGTTAATATGCAATATCAATTCATGTGAATCATTATTTTTTCTGGGATACCATTAACTTGGTTGAGTGTCCAGATCCTGTTGACTTCTGGAGAAGAGCTTGCCAAGTTGAACTGAAAGGGAGGGCCATGGACAGGCTCATCAAGATCCATAGCTGAAATGTCCGCATACCCCATCTTTGGTTTGCAGATGACAAGGTAATCTTGAATTATCTCGGGTGCATTGTCATTCACATCCTCAATGTTCACTGCTAGTGTTCCTGTGCACGATTTACCATCTGGGAAGAAAAAGGGATGAGGCTGAGTGCAGTTCTCATCTGTTTATCTTAGAGTCTCCAAAGAGGAAAATAAATTCCAACTCTGTATATACGTACAAATACATCTCTTTAGGTCTAGGTCCAACACATGAGACAAAACATGTGTTATTTATGTTTCTGATTCTAGCTTGTTTCTCTTAATGTAATGATGTCCAATTATGTCCATTTCCTGCAAATGCCACTAGGTAATTTTTCTTTACATAGACAAGAAATCCAACTGTGTGTATGTAACATGCTTTCTTTATCTATCTTTCCTTGATGGCCATCTAAATTGGTTCTGTTTCCCAGCTGTCATACAGCAATGAACATGGATGAATGGGTTGCTTTGTGGTATGTTGTGGGTATATACCCATGAATGGCACAGCTAGAATCTGTTTTTCCTAGAAACATTATCTTGGTTATTAGACAAATAGCAAATAAGAATATGGATAAATAAAAGCTAAGGATTATCTAAATGGTTCCTGCTGCTGATAGTACCAGACACAAGTTTCAACAAACCTTTTGCCTGACTTATTATAAATAATAGAAACAAATTCTGGATTGCAAGCTTTCTTGCCTTGGGATCATGGATATTAATGAGCTATGATGAATGGTTATAGAAATATTATTCTAATCCCAGGATGCATTCAAACCCATAGGAAGGCTTTAATATATTACACTCAGGCTCTACAACCAAAAATTCTAATTCAATGAGTACAAGGTAACATCTATACATCGAAATTATTGTTATTTAAATTAAATCCACAGGTAGAGGAAGTTTAAGACCAGAATTCAAGTTTAGAAGCATCTAATAATCACATGAATGAGTAAAAACCTCCAAGTAAAGTGACACAAAGATACCTAGAAGAGACTGAGGAGACCATTGCATAGTCTTATGATTAGGTTTGATCATTGTCCTTTATCACAAAGCTGTGTAAGAACTAAGTTCATGCAGATGGAATATGGAGATAAATAAGAGATGTGTTATTAGCTGAGCATGATAGCTCATACCTATAAATCCAGTGCAGGGAAGGCTAAGGCAAGAACTGCCACAACTTTAAGACCAGCCTGAGTTACATAGTGGGCTTGAGGGCAACTTGGGCTACAGAGTAAGACTATGTCAACAACAAAAACACCTTTCTGAGTGTGGAGTGCAAGTCTGTAATTGTAGCATTCAGTATACTGGGTCATGAAGATCAAGAATAATAAAGTTCATCCTTGGCTGCACAGTGAATTCAAAAGCAGCTTTGACTACATAATTCCCACATATCAGAAAACAAACCAAACAAACAAAACCAGAAATCACTGATACCTTCTCACCAAAGTCATCTTGTAGGACAACAAGAGAGATACTAGTCTACTAGGCAATTTTCACGAATTATATATAGTTACCAAAAGATTATTTCTGCACAACAATAACTACAACTTATAGTAAAATATTAAATCAAAACTTTGTTACCTTGGTCTATTGCCATGACTGTGATATTATATAAGTCATTTCTTGGAGCCATGGCTTCTCTGTCTAGGGCTTTTGATATTGTAAGCAGCCCCGAAACTTCTTCAATGCTGACCCATTCTTTAGGATCCTGCAGTTTTTTATACCTGTTAATAACATGAAATTGTGTAAGTATTTGTCATCAAAACACCTCTCAAAATAAGTTCGCTGTTTCACTTATGACAACTGTGTTAACACATGGTTGCAGAGTTTTGTGTACCTTAAGCCATTGCTATTCTTGGTTTCAGGATCGTAGGCCTTATAGCCATTGATCTTGGAACCCACAGCTGAGTTTTCTTTGATCCGAACATATTGCTCAGGGGGTTTGCATTCTGGCCCCTCATCCTGATCTCTCACATGAACTGTCACCAAGGCTCGGTTCATGGTGGGTACTCGGCTTGCAACATCTCTGATGAGTGGAGCTTCGTTGTTCACTCCAATCTCTAGGGTCACTTGATGGTTTTCTTCATAATCCAGTGGCTTTAAGACAGAGGATATGCATGTCAGTTCACTGTGGAGTACATTTGGTATTTCAAGTAGCTGGACATTTTTACCAATGTGGCCAGGACTGTGTAATAAATTCATGTTCACATTTTGCTAGAAGTGACTCCTTTTCCATTATGGAGCTGTGATCCTGGGCTAACTGGCCTTTAGTAAGGGTGGTCTCCCAAACATCCACAGATGGAGTTACAAAGGCATAGGAAAGAAATCCCTCAACTATTTTTACATTATTTTAAGAAAAAAAATATTCTCAACCTGTAAGTATTGCAGATTTTTATCAATGTCTAACAGTCTGATACTGGGTCCATCTGGCACTGGTATTTGACAAACCTTGTAAAATTGCATGGTAACCAGTAAAATCCAAAAGGTGAAAATATTTTATTTACTTTCTGTCTGACAGATACTCTAAATGTCTATTTTCTTTTTGTGGTGTTTCAAGAATATGGTTGGTTTGTTTTTGTTGTTTGTTTGTTTATTTTCATCCCTGTATTATTAGAAACAGGATCTTACTCTACAGCCCAGGCCAGCCAAGAAACTCACTGTGTTGTCAAAGCCATCTGTCTGAAACCTGTGATGGTCCTCCCTTCTCAACCTTTCAAGTGCTGGGATTACTGGTGTGTGTGCCCCACTCAGCTCCCAATATCTATTTTAAGTCCCCTTATACAAGACATCTAATTGAGCCATCTCTAGTCTGTCTTTTCTCAGAGCAATATCTATCCAGGATCTCATTTCTTCCTTAGGAATCCACTTCAGTTTTTGAAGATTCCTTCCTGAATGATGAAGCACTACCTGGTGTTATGAAAAAGATTACATTCGTGACAATTTAATCATAGTGCTTTGGCACTGTCTGTTATTTACCACATGCACTTATGTTGATGCAGAAGGCCATCAAATGGTAAACTCCATGACGATCACTGCTCACAAACAACAGAGCTTTAAGCAGTGAGTGTAAATTCACTGAATCCTCATGCCTGTGTGCAGCAGAAATTCCCATTATCACCCCCATTTTATACAGCAGCAATCTGGAGAATAGGAAGCGAAC